ACTATTGAAAAATACCTACACTTTTTAAAAACCCAAATGATAATCATGTTTTCCGAACAAAATCTATTTGTCATAATTATTTTTCTTATTAAATTCATATATAAGAATAGTATAATCTGTTATATCTTTCTTGACTATTTCTTTAATAGTATCAGAAGAGGTTTTGTGGAGACTGTAGTAATTTCAATAGTTGAGATCGTGAGTCAGTTGAAGCTAGACCACCATCGAAAACCTGGAATCACTGAACAGCCGTTTCGTCTTATTGTGGGACTTCCCAACAGAGCGCATCTACGATCCCATCCCCCCTGCAAGATTCGAACCCAGGGCCTATCAGTCTCCCGCGCGAACACCTAACCACTAGACCACTGAGCCGGCATCCAACGGTGTTAATGTCTAACATCAACTAATCCACAAGATTAAGCGACACATCCACCATTGTCATCAGTGAGTTCCTGTCTCACAACTGACTCAGTGCTTCCAGGTTTTCAATGGTGGTCTATCTTCAATTGACTCATGATCTCAACTACTGATACTTCTTTAATATAAAATGTCAACTATATTGAATTTTTAGAAGCCGAAAAGCGTTGCATAGTGTTTTACATTAGTTTCGATAGAAATTACTCATCAAAGCTAAACTAACACAAGACAAATAACAGATAGAAGGATTTAAAACTATTTACTTCATTATGGTAACTTTTATTCCTTGGACTATCAAAATAAGTGTTATTATAATGAAATAATAAACATTAAACAATTTGACATAATCCATTGTGATCGAGAAAGCAGGTGGGGATAACCAAAATATTTTATTACAAACTTACAGAGTTCTTTGATAAATTTGTGAAAAACATACATTCAATACTTGATTTACAAATCCTTTATCAATTACCTCAGTCTTCATTATTCCTTTATTGGAATAATAATTACTCTCTATTCCCATTCTCTCTAATTCAAACTTCCCAAGTTTCTGCTGCCAGATATTCTATTCCTGATTGATGTTATAATACTATTTACATCGACATAAGTAGCATACACCACAATCCTTCCAAAGGTTATTGATAATTATACATTTAATTAATTATCAATGACCTTGGAAAGAATCACATATATTCTGAAAAGGGTTACGTAATATTTGCCAATTTGCAGAGAATGTTAGTTCGAGCACGGATTTGAAAAATTAGGACCTCATTATTTGAAAAGACGTATGCTATCAATTATTTTGAGTGAAAATATGATGCACTAAATACAAACAAAATGTATGATCAAAGTGGAAATAATTTAGGTACATAATCTTTTTTCGGTAGCTGATTGTATTAGTTACAAACTATGTACGCATAGAACTATCTTTACTAGTGTATGAAAAAGATAAACATAACTACAACGTCAGATGCCAAAGAAAGAAGGCTAAACCAGAGTTTCATAAACCCTTTCATTTTTCAGTATTAACTGGTAACAAGTGTTTTGGGCTGTTTAAGGTTAAGTGGTTGATTTTATAGTTTGTTTAATTTGTAGGAGAGAATCGAGTTTATAACAACAGAATTATCAAAGGCGTACAATCTAAGCTGAATTACATAAACGTTGTGGTGAAATTTACGAAAAAAACATCAAGTATTTTATGAAATTCTGAAGCTACGATGAGAGTAACTACTTTCAAATAAATATCTCAAGATCTTAAGAACCATTGACCTGTTGTGAAAGATATCGAATATATTCTACCAAACATCCTTATCTCGATGAAAATTAATGAACTGAATTTGAAAGCATTATTTGTCTGTATAATTATCCGATCAAACGTAAAACGATAAGGCAACTAAAGAGTTTAACATTTAAAGACTCCCAAGGATAACATGCACTGTGGAAACAATAATGAAACAAGTGTGTTGCCGTAAACGTTGAGTATTTTATAAGTGATGATATGTATAATTATACAAGTCATATGAATTGATCATTAATTCACTTATAGTGTACCTTATATGTAATACGGCATTTTATTAATCGTCATACAAAATTAAACGTCGAGGCTTTCTTTCTTACATCATCAATATTCAAGTCATTTGAGAAACAAAGCATAAATGTATTTGTATCAGAAGGGGTTTTGTGGAGACTGTAGTAATTTCAACAGTTGAGATCATGAGTGAATTGAGTAAACCAAATATTTAACAGTTCGATTCAAAAAGTACTTTGTAATAATAGAAGAAGCAATATTGCTGGGGTTTTAAAGACAAAGAACCTAGACACCAATCGTTAATGTTAAAAATATAACAGTTTCATTGACATCGTTACAAAAATAATAACCGTGTAATGTCTGGTAAAAAAAGGAAATTTCTCTAGTGTAGGTGACTAGTTATTGATTAATAAAAGATTTTAAAAAACAACAACAAAAATTGAGTTCTTTGAAATGGTTTAGATTCAACGAAATTTACTTTAACTACCCATAACACAAAGATTTCATTTAGAAATCACATAATGGCCCATATAACCTTGCAGTAGTGATAAGAATTACATTGAATATACACTAAGAATTAACTGAACTCTATATTTCTATATGGATTTCTTTATGGATTTACATTCACAATGATTAGTACAGATTAGTGAACGAAATCAAATTCAATAGTATAAGACTAGAAATAGTTTCAGTCAAAAATAATTGCCAGTATAGGGTTGTGGAGATTATTAGGTTTTTGATTGAGATCATGAAGTAATTAATGTTAGACAACCATTGAAAACCTGGAAGCACTGGACGGCCTTTTCGTCCTATTATTGGATTCCTCAACAGTGCCTATCCACAATCCCGCTCGCGGGATTCAAACGCAAGCAGTATACTGAGGTCTATTGAAGCCTTAATCATACGAAAATTTAAACCCACTGCATATATTCAAAAACAGTTTGTTCTCACCCTAAACCTACCCTAGTAAAATTAGCACGTTATACAGAATGATGAGTTTTCACATCATTTTCTTTATTATCTTTGTCTCCTCTTACATCTCCATTTGTTTAGATGACCTTCTATTTCTAAATGTAAATGTTCTTAAGAAGTGTATTATATGTGATCAAATTGTTCGAAATGTATTGTGCTAATAAATCGCATAGTTCTGATAATCTTTGTCTTCTTATTATGCTACTCAGAATACTGATAACTATCGAAATAGTCAGATATATCAAAGTGACAGATCGTGGAGAAGATTTGTAGCTCAGGTGGATGATTTTGGTGGAGTTTTGTTCCCTGAGCTGGATGGTTTGGTCGTGGAGCTCCCCGGAACGCCAACGTACAATTTGTCGAAAGAAATTTCACGAATACTGAGACATCTAGTAGATTCAGCCAACCACTCCATCAAATCCCCAACAAAATTCCTGGACCAAATTAAGGATATTCAAATCAACAACGACGAACTCATGATATCCTTCGACGTAACAGCACTGTTCACCTCAAATGAACCACAGTTGACAAAAGAAGCTATATCCCTGCTGCTCAACAATGACACAAATCTCACCACATACACGAAGCTCCAAATTCAAAGTCTACTGGAACTCATCGATTTATGCCCAACAACATATTTTCAACTCAACCACAAAATCTACGAACAAACGAAAGGGACACCAATGGGATCACCAATATCAGGACTGATCGCAGAGGCACTGATGCAAAAACCAGAAGCCACTGTATTACCAGTGATCAAGCCAAAAATCTGGATCCGCTATTTAGACGACACCTTCGTCATCGTCAAAAAGGATGAACTGCAAAACACTTACAAACTGATCAACAACGTTTTCAATGACATCAAGTTTACAATGGAACAGGAGTCAAACAACCAACTAGCATTCTTGGACATATTGATCACTAGAACCGACACAGGAAAACTGGAAACTCAAATATATAGGAAACCGGCCCATATAGATTAAATTCTCAACTACAATAGCAGCAACCCAAGAGCTCACAAAATCAACTGCGTACACACATTGTTCAAGAGGTCGAGTACACACTGCAGCACACTGGCAGCACGAAAAAATGAAGAGAAATACCTGAAGGACATATTTCAAAAGAACGGCTACCCAATCAACTTCATCAAAAAACACCAACCGCACGCAGCATCAGAACCTGAGTCAAGCACAAAAATCAACAAAAGGATCACCCTACCATATATACAAGGAATATCAGAAACCCCAACGAGACTGCTGAAAACCTTCGGGATAGGTGTGGCACACAAACCGACAAAATCACTACAATCAATCTTATGCAAACCAAAAGATGAAAGAACAAAGGAAAACAAATCAAACATCATCTACAAAATAAATTGTACCAACTGCGACAAACACTACATCGGACAAAGCGGACGCCCCCTCCACCTTCGCCTACATGAACATCAATTAGCAGTCAAACGCCATGATATCTCTTCACTTATATCAATACACGTGGATAACTACGGAGACTCATTCGATTGGAAAAATGTAGAAATCTTAGACAGAGGAAACTCCAAAAACACCAGAGAATTCTTAGAAGCCTGGCATTAAGATCAATCAGCAATCAACAAACATTGAAATCAACCCAATTTATCAACCAATCAGGAAAATCATGCGTAAATATAGGAACAAAAATCAAACCAATGGGAGACACAACCAAAACAAAGAAGTAAACAATGATAAATTTAAGGTCAATAAGAACCAATCAACATCGAGGTGCACAGAATAAGCTGTGAAACACATATGGAGAAATTCGAACACTTCACTTCTATCTGAAGTTTGTACCGATGATGTCGTTCAGAAGAACGATAAAAGCTCCACGACCAGACCATCCAGCTCAGAGAACAAAACTCCACCAAAAGTGACAGATCATATACACTTTCGAAACATAAAATAAACTTTTAATATTTATTTATTTAGTATAATTGTAATGATAATAAATAATTAATTATTGCCAAATTCATAAGGATCAATTTTTAAATTAAATACATTTCTTTGTTAAAATAATTTTTTAGTAAATAAGCAAATGTAACGTTTATTTTTCAATATTTCAAAGTAAGTACTTCATAATATTCACATTTACGCTCATCTCCACCCCATGGAAAACATCCCGAGCTTTCACCTTGAATTAACTGATATAATAAACAAAAGGGAGATGGGGAGGGGGAGTGATTCATTACTGAATTATTACAAAGTATGAATAATAACTATAGTAAGAGATTAAGTAAATTCATTTTATGTTGTGTATTTTAAATCTTCCCGTATAGGCATTAATTCATAAAATCGATATTATTTCGTTGTTTATGTTCGAGATTGGAAATTTATTAGTCTTTGTTAACATATATGCATCCTGTGTGAGTTGTTGTGCTAGTAGCCATTATATAATGATGTGAAAATCAACACTCAGATGTATGCACAATTAGATGACCAGCCTCAAGTAGGACAAAATCCATGTCTATGGCCACAGTCCTTCAATTTTAAATAGCTTTTTTTATTCTGTTTGAAATATAATTAGTGTAGGATTTGTTTAACTAGCTTAGAGTTAGTTTAAGTTTTGAACGTGATTTTAGTGGACTTTGATTCATGCTGACTTTTTTTCTACACTGTTCACTATGTATCTCTAGGCTAAAGGATCGCCTATTTCATTTGCTAACAACACCGAACCTAACATACTATAACTTTAGAAATACTCCTTATCTTTCCTACCTACTTACATCCAATCGCAATAACACATTAATTGTTTAATTGAGTCAAGTTTTTGTTTCAGATTTACAGCTATAATTATAGCCAGTTTTATTATTTAAACACTATTCAGTAGAACTCTTGACACTTTGATAGTTTACCCTTTCAAGAAATTCCGTTTACAATTCTTAGTTTTCACCATGAACTTATTTTGTTTAGGCAGTTACTGAAGATTTGAGAGCAATGGATAACTAATGGAAATGTTAACAATTGTAATTCAATCGAAAATTGACTTTTCTTTCCGTCATATCAAGCAATAATTTGTCTACTGGGTATAACGCGGGTCCTAACATACTGGGCGACAGTAAGCGGACTCAGTAACCAAATGTTTTAACAGAAAAAATCTAATATCATAATAACCTTTATCATTGTAATATTACTAAATTGGTTCTTGAGCTATTACAATGCTAAAAGCTTAGAGCTATGATTCAATTCAATGTCTTTTAACAGTATCTAACTTAATGAGTTACAGTCACACCATATTATCTGATGAATCATCACAGTTTGCGTATAAACCATAGATCATTAAGCGGCCATTTTATCTTGGTTCAGAGTTATTCATCAATAAAAAACATGAACGAACAAAATTGAAGCAAGTGACTTCAGTTCTTTCAAAGTCTAAGATACCTTTAGATCATTAAGTTAAAATCAATTTATCTCAGACTTCCAACTTTATCCAACTTTTTTATGATTATCAAATAACATCTTTCATATCTAACTGGCTAAGCCGTAGACAAGGAGTTTTGATTAGTTTATGAAAGACCTTTTAGTGACGTTTAAGTGGCCTTGACGGTGTCCACCTACTTGGCATGACTAAATGGGAGTTATTAACCTATGTGAAGAATAAGGATTATGATTTACAGTTGATGATTCAGTTTATGAATTAGATTTAAATGGACGAATGAATTTCGCGCCAAGATCCAAGACATGTTAACTTATATCTTATTGGTTCGTTCATAAATTATAATCTCGCCATGAATTCATCTTATAACATGATGTATTTATTTTCTAGTAAACGTTTAACATGGATTTGTTGAGTGTGACTAGTTGATTTTCCACTAATTTGATTTTTAAGAAAAAGTTGTGAATGTTTAAAAACAATATTCACTTTAAAAATCATTGAGAAAATTAAACAGAATATTGAAAACGTTTTAAGCTACTACGAAAAAATTTATTCAATTTCTTTCCTATTTATCAACATTTCTTCAGTTGAATCCATGAGTCGATTGAAGCTAGAAGACCACGGGAAACTTAAAAGCACTGTATGGCCGTTCCGTCCTAGTATAGGACTCCTCAGTGGCGCGCACCCATGACCTCGCCGTGTAGGACTCGACCCCAGGGTCCGTCGGCCTTGAGCGCGAATACTTAGCCTCTAGACCACTGACCTGGTATCCAACAGTGGTAATGCCTAGCTTCAACCCATTCACGAAATTGCGCCACCGTTCACCATTGTCTTCAGTAAGCTGGTTGAACTCCACTGACCACGACTTCTCACTAGAACTCCAGGAATTATCTCTTGAAGCCAGTCACTAGTGAGCAGATGATGATTATTACCAGAAGAGGGTTTTGTGGAGGACTCCACATGATGAAAATAATCGTCAAATGATTACTCCTTGGAAATGAAAAAAAATTATTTGTTTGTAAGGGTTTATATTTACCTGTTGTTGATGTTATGAACCCATAAGCGAATCGCTTTTTGTATACAATAGTTCACTAGATAACATATTAGCATTTTAAGTGAAATGGACCGAGTTCGACTCTCATTGTGAACATCATTACAAGGTATATCCAGGTGATGAGCCTAAAATGCAATATAACCTACGTTCTTGTTTCCACTAAAATTAGCTTTAATAAAAATCTTGGAACAATTAAGCTTTACACTGGCTACTTAAAATGTTTAGACAGACTTAATTACTGTATTTACATTCAGTAATCAGTTGTATTTAAAGAAAGTATCTCATACTGTAGTAAATATACATCAACACTCAATAAAATCAAACTCACTTTCCCAACAGATACTTCACCTTCAATTACTGCTTTTACAATGTACAATGGTGTACCGAATTTATTTATTCCAGCAACTAACGCATTTTCTGGTACATCACCTCCATTCATCATTATCCATTCATATCTAATTAAATTTAGTAGTAAAAATAAATTATTCAGATAATATTAATAATAATAATAATAATAGTTTTAAGTGTATATAAAATAAACTTCGCTTGACACCAGTGTTTACCATTTTCATCAGACATACCTATCAGATTGAATGAATTTATTCTCAGATGCTTTTTACGATTACAAAACAGTACTAATTAAGAACTACTCACTGAATATCCTTTCTAGAGTTTAAGATCAGTATCAATATATATTTTCTTTTCTTTTAAGATCAAGTAAGTGAAACGAATTACTATTAGTGTGTCCGGCAGACAAGTCCCAAATAGGACGAAACATAGCTAGCAATGGAATCTAGGGAAATGTGTTAGTTGCTAAGTTTGTAAGGATAGTCAACTTTTTATAAGTTTTTAACTGTTCTAACTACTATTATTGAGATGGTTTAATAAATGAATTAAATTTGTTGAATTCCATATTTTTCCCATTAAATCGATTCCTAAATAATCTTAATAGCTGAATTCATTAGTCGATCTAAGCTAGACAACCATTGAAAACATGAAAGCACTAGACGACCGGTTTGTCCTATCATGGGACTCCTCAGCAGTGCGCATCCACGATCCCGCACGCAAGACTACAACGCATGACCTTCGGTCTCACGCGCGAACACTTAAACTCTAGAGCACTGATCTGGCATTCAACGGTGTTAATGACTAACTTCAACCAATCCACAATATTGCGCAACCCTTCACCTATTGTCTGAGGTGCATAACTGTCTCACACTCGACACGAATTAGACTCCACTGGTCACGGCTTCGCACTAGAACACCAGGAAATCTATCTCGAAGCTAGTCACTGGTGAGAACATGATTGGATACCGGCTCAGTGGTTTAGAGGTTAATAATCCACGCGAGAGACCGAAAGTCATGGGTTTGAGTCTTGCGCGCGGGATCGTGGATGCGCACTGCTGAGGAGTCTCATACTAGGACGTAACGATCTTCCAGTGCTTTCATGTTTTCAGTGGTGGTCTAGCTTAGACTAACTTATGAATTCAACTATTAAAATTACTACAACCTCCTCAAATCGCCATCCAAAATAACAATCACAAAAGCAGTTTTCGGTCAACTGACCGAATATTAGTCAAATGTTCATTAATCAAAAGACAAAATCGAAGTCCATAAATCGACTAATGAGTTTTCATTTTCAATTGTCATACCAAGTACACTATGAACATATGTAATAGTAGGGAACGAAAGTTGACTGCAAAAACTTCGTCACCCTAAATTTTTGATAAACAAAGTATCACATCGAGAAAACCAACAAAAGTGTAAAAATACATTATTTTCACATCCTACTTTTATTGATATATTTGTCATACACGATGTCTTAGAAAGTAAAGACTTTCTTGAGTTATGAATCATTTTGAAGTCAATCAATTCCATGAATTGAAAGTTTAAATAACATCAGATACAATGCTGTATATGCTTCAATCTTACTACGAATGACACGATCCTACTCTCCTCCTCAATAGTTTAGTGAATTTATAGAATAAATGGTTAAAGTATTAATTGGATAGTAATGACTTATTAAGTAGTTTTATTCTACCGATCTATTGTTTAATAAAACCATGAGAAATGATGAATACCGAAGAAGATTGGATAGTAGATCCTGTCTTTAGATTCCAACTCCTCATCAATGCCTATCCATTACTTAATACAATATCGAAATTACATAATGAGACAGATATATTAATTTGAAAGATTAACGCAATGTAACTAAGAAGTGAAAAGATTCTCTGAATGATTTTAATTGTTGTAAACGAATGGATTTATCATAGCAAGAATAAAATTTGAAAATGTTTAGATATTATTATTACTTTGTTTTGTAGCTAAGATATCACTAATTGAATTTTAAATAAAATATCTGTAACACTGAACAAGTAAATATGTAAACATACCCTACTCGACAACCAGGAATACCAGTATTACATAATACTTCATAGTTTGTGAATTCCAACTCTTTACCGTCAAGTGGAATATATGCTTTTCCATATTTCTCTGAAAATTTGCCACAAATTAAATCATTATCGATTTGACAACGAGCCACATAAATTGCTTCATCTGCTTTAACAGCATTCTTTGGAAGTATACCATCTTTGGCTGGAATCCATGATAAGGGAATTTGTAAACCGTTGCTAACTCTTGCCATTACAAATAGATTACTATAAAATAAACATTGAAATAGTTTGTAAAGTACAAATAAATATTTTAATGGTGTATGATCAACTGATTATTTGAAGTGATAGCAATGTTTACAAGATAGATATGCTCTAATACTTATTTAACTGTATAATATATTTATGTACTTACTAATAGAAATCTACAATAATACTTCCAATTAATTTATCAAAGTTTGTTTGCATTATTCATTTACATATCCTATAAGGTTGGAAAGCATTTGTTCAAAAGGACTTAATGATCAACTTTAAATATATACCACCTATTCAGTTTGTAATATAATCTCTCCAAGCTAAATGTATCAATTTCATTTTGCATTATAATTAGTCTTTTATTACTGATGCCAAAACAGTTTTATAACTGTTAACATTAATCATAAATTCATCTCTACAGTAACTGAAACAATCATATTCATTAAAATAGAATCAGTATTTACTAGGAAATGGATTGTAAATACATCTGAGTTTCTATGAAAGTTACAGAGGGATTTTTTAAGGTTTACTCTTATCACAACTAAGGGGGTATTTTTAATTAATGGGATACTTAGTTTTATTCTCATTTTTTTTCTTAAATTAAAGAATATTGTTTAAAACTGACCATGGAATCAATAATTTAGACCTTTTTAATTTCTATTATATACATGTCAAAAATATATTACTACTCTTTCAATCAATAATGATTGGTTTAATCTCCCACTGGAAATCAAGATGGAGACTGATGATTAAACCAAATGACTTTCAGACAAGTATAAAACTCAACTTTATCTATTTTGATTGGAATCATTTCTTGTTGTTGATTGTCTTTAATATCTAAAGTCCAACTTTGGTATCTTTCTGTTTATCTTTACATTCAGACTTTAAAATGTTCTCTAGTTTGTGTCATTTTATGATGAAGGCCAGTTTCAAATTAGAAAAAAAAGTTTTATAAAGCACCAAGAAGAATCGCAGTTATAAATCGTTCAAGTTTACGTGCATTTTTTGTCAAAGTGACCTAACTTCTATAAATCTAACATTTTAAACAAATCATTTTACTGGTGAATCGGTTAAATCTTGCTTGAGCTATTTTGTTGTAAATAATAATAATAATCAGGTAGAACTGAATGAAATATGTGACTAAATACATTATAAATGAAACATGATCAATTAATTCTCAAAGATTCTGGTAAATTTGGACAGCAGCCACAAGTGGAATCTAGGAATACTGTTTTTTTTATTTGAGAGTAATTAGTTGGATGTACTTACATTCCAACATAGATTGATTAAAATCTAAACAATATTATCAACGATAAGAATATTGAAGTTTTTTCTCGTAATAATACAACAATATGCAATTCGAATTTGTAATCATTCATTAGAAGTGATGAGAAAAGTCTAACTTCTTATAAGATGTTTACTAGTTCTCTGTGAGCGATTCTACTCAAAACTAATGCAAATATATATTTCAATAGTTGAGATCATGAGTCAGTTGAAGCTAAACCACTATGGGAAACCTGGACGCACTGGACAGCTGTTTTGTTCTATTGTGTGACTCCTCAACAGTGCTCATCCAAGATCCCGCTCGCAGAATTCGAACCCAGGACCTATCATGACTGTTGAAATTACTACAACATCTGCTCAATAGTGACTAGCTTCAAGATGTATATCTTGGAGTTCTAGTGAGAAACAGTGACCAGTGGAGTTCAACTGGGTCAGTTGTGAGATAGTAACTCACTGAAGACAATGGTGGGTGTGTCGCTCAATTTCGTGGATTAGTTGAAGTTAGACATTAAAACTACTAGATGCCGGTTCAGTGGTTTAGTGGTTAAGCGTTCGCGCGCGAGACTGACAGGTATTGGGTTCAAAGCCTGCGAGGCGGGATTGTGGATGCGCACTGTTGGGGATTCCCACAATAAGAGGAAACGGTTGTACAGTGATTCCAGGTTTTCCATAGTGGTCTAACTTCAACTGACTCATGATCTCAAATATTGAAATTACTACAATCTCCACAAAACCCCTTCTGATACTAACCAAAGATATATGTCAAATATGAATCCCATTAATCTCAGGAGCAACTTACATGAATTTAAATTATTAACAATATGAGTAAAATGTTTCACTTGAGATTAATTATTTACATTTACTATATATATAATCTATCCCTGATCCATTATTGGTTTATATTGACAACTAATATCGGATTGGTTGGTCATGTTCATTATTGATTGACAAGTATAATGTCCGTAATCTTGAAGTTGTAATTAAACAGTAGTTTAATTGTTTATTCTGCCTTTTATTGGAACCTATCTTTTTTAAACAAAAAAAACACAACTAATAATCATTGTAAGATTATTAATTTATATATTGGATAGTACACACCCATTTGTGTTTCTACCGTTCGTATCAATATAATCCTTGTTCACACGAAAGAGATTGTGCTAAACAAAAGTTGAAGAATACAGAAATCAACGTATTCTTTCTTAGATAAGGTTTATGATTATTATTCAGCAATTGAATATATTCTGTTTCGAAATAACTAGTTAAAAAACACTAATTGACCAATATCCATTATTTCAGTTTTATGACAAATTAACAATAAAAGTGTTCATACGTTGTTAAGGGAATCATTCATTATAATGTAAACATTGTTTACAATTAGAAATAGAGAAATGCGTTTAAGCTTTTTGTTAAACTGTTTTTTATAGTTACATTAGTTTATTTAGAGTTTTTCATTTCATCACAGTTTATATGACGAAATATTGTTTATCTAAACAATCATTTCAAACCAGAGAATATTAGGTAACCATACTATCAAACATAGTAACGTAAGTCTCAAGGAGTATCAATCAATAACTCCAACTAAAATTAAGGCAAAAACTTTCAAGCTTCACAATGAGCTAATCTACAATGAGTTAAGGTCAAATAATTCACGTTTTTACTTAATTCAATTGGTGATATTTCATTTTTATCATCCATTTTCATAGGTGATACCTGACTTACCCTTGTTATGGTTAAACAACACTGATCACGAGAACTTCAGGAATAATTACTCACTTGTATGTTTATGATTATCATTCCTGTTTCATAGTATTAAGGTGAACCAGAGCTATCAAGAGAAAATTAAAATCTCATAGAGATCATACATTTACTCTAGACTCTAAATATACCTTGTTGACAAATATTAGTTAGCATAAAATCTTGATTTAGGTCATCTTGCTGATTTATTCTAATGATGTGACATCAAAATATAGTGCACCCTATATCAAGATGTTACATCATTTATTGGGTGTAGTGAAAAAAATGTCAGTAATCTTAATCAGAATTAAATTCGTATTCTTCTTTCAAACAATCAGCAACTTGAATTTCAAATTACTAGAAACAGATTGTGCATACCTATTAGATGTTTAATGAAACATCTTATGAATACAAAGCTCAGTCTTAAACTTTCTGTTATAAAAAAATGAGCTACACTGAGAACAGTTAAGATTGCTTAAACATCTCTTCAAGTCAATTAGGTAGATTTTAGTCAATTTGTGAATAGTTCAAAATAAAGAACATTTTGGTCACGAATGGCTCTAAATAGAGAACCATGGTGAAAGGAATTGTTGAAGACAGTAAAATATAGGTGTCACGATAGAGTAGGGTAGATATTTATAAATCAATAAACTACAATCTAGTAGTTTAAGTTTCCAACTATATTCAATTCATGATCCACAAAGCGATGATCACTATCAGTTTAAATTACTTTAACTTGGATATTCTTGAACTTCACCTGTACAAAATAACTGAAGTTAATTATGTGAAACATTGAATTCTTATTCATTTGTTAGAAGCATCATGTTTTCCCCAAGTCTTGAACTTTCGAACTCATAAAAGAATTGGGGTGACTACTGAAAAATCTTCAACAATCCAGAAATAATCGCAAAACCCCTGTAGTGACCTACTTTTATCAAGAGAACGCGATTGTACCAGTGATTGTTTTACTATACTTGTTTGTAGAACTGTACTAAAGACATACATATTTCCGTTGATTGTGACTTTGCACGCACTTACGTTTGCTTAGTGATTCCTCTTGTACTCCTTTGGCACGATCTCAGTGTTCTTTCGATACCACGAGATCGCCAACAAATATATCTCGCTACAACCTCCAATCACCTTCTGATATGTGGTACGCAACCTTCTTGTAGTGGTGATCATAGTCAGCCGCAACTCAACGCCACACTACACCCCTCCCCCAGAGTTTATAATAATTTTCCAACTTATATTTAAGAAAAAAACAATAGTATTAACGAAAGCAATTCAAACTTATATTTGTATTATAACTAGATATATGTTTTTCTTCAGGGAAAAAAAACCGGAAACACTTTTGTATGAATGTAAATGTGATTATCTACTTAATTTTCACACGTTTATAAAAACTAATTAAGAGTATAATACTTGTTATTTAATAGTGCACTTCATATTAATAATCTTAAAATGATATGAAGATTAATTGGAGGTAAAACATTATTATAATTATGAAAATCATTTATGTGAATAGTTTCAAATTGTTTAATTCTATGCATTCTGTAAACAAAAGCACGGGTGAATAGATAAGTAGGTGAAAAGAAAGTTAGTCAAATAAACGAAAAATTATACATTCATTTTAATGATTACATCATTTTTCATGTATTCAACCTAATGACAAACTGTACATTCATCATGATCTTTTAAGATTCTTTCTCCAAGAACAAACCAATGAAAAATGTTGTGAATGATAAGAGTACCAAATCGAATATTTATCAAATATAATCAACTTTCATTTGATTAACTTTTCTATATATTTATTCAATAAGTATTTACCATTCTAACATTTGTCAGCCATTCAAAATAACAATGAAGTGTAGTTTTACATATACTAACTTGTTGAAATATATAAATATTCATATCGTTAAAAGGATGCTATAAAATATCTATGTAGTTCAATGAAATCTTTCATTACATTTGGTTTACCTCT